TCCCTCCTCCTCCTCCTCCCCTTTCCCCCCTCCCTACCTTCCCCCCCTGATTATGGCAACCAGGTTCATCAATGTCATATACTGTAAGTAGAAAAGATTTTTGTGAATGTATATTTCATCATGGAGATTCTTTTTTTTTAACTCCTGCCAAGGCATGGTGACCCAAAGAAGAAAACGGACATTAATTTTTAAATTACAAGTTACAGTGGAACCTCGAGTTTCAGCTGCCCCAAGTTTTGGCCGTTTTGAGTTTCGGTCACTTTTTTCGCCTAAATTTTGTCCTGAGTTTCGAACAGTACATTGAATTTTGGCCGTCGTACCAGACCTGTCCGCCTGCCCACACATCAGTCTGGCTTTGTTTCTCCTCGAGTGAACATTACCCTGCATGTTTATCCAAACATTTCACAATAATCCATTGTTTTTTGTGCTTGTTGATTGAGTGCGACTGCTACATAATTAACCATGGGCCCAAAAAAAACTTCCTAGTGCCAGCCCTTTGGTAAGGAAAGTGAGAAACACAATAGAATTGAAGAAAGAAATTGTCGAAAACTACGAAAGTGGTATGCATGTGCTTCAGCTTGCCAGGATGTATGGCAAAAACAAATCGACCATCAGTTCCATCCTGGCGAAGAAAAAGAAAGATGATGTTGTGAAAGGGGTAGATCATCATCTTTTAACAAACCGGCCATATCCCACTGAGGTGGGGTGGCCCAAAAGGAAAAACGAAAGTTCTTTTACATTTAGTAATATTACAGGAGAAGGGGTTACTAGCCCCTTGCTCCCGGCATTTTAGTTGCCTCTTATGACACGCATGGCTTATAGAGGAAGAATTATGTTCCACTTCCCCATGGAGATAAAAGGAAATAAACAAGAACAAGAACTAGAAAGAAAATAGAAGAAAACCCAGAGGGGTATGTATGTATATATATGCTTGTACATGTATGTGTAGTGTGACCTAAGTAAGTAGGAGTAGCAAGACGTACCTGTAATCTTGCATATTTATGAGACAGACAAGACACCAGTAATCCTACCATCATGTAAAACAATTACAGGCTTTCGTTTCACACTTGCTTGGCAGGACGGTAGAACCCCCTGGGTGGTTGCTGTCTACCAACCTACTACCTATGAAAGGGGTAGATATGCTAACAAAAAATAGATCACAGACAATCGAAGATGTTGAGAAGTTGCTGGTATGGATCAATGATAAACAATTAGCAGGAGATAGTGTTTCGGAGACGATCATTTGTGAAAAGGCAAGGCAGTTGCACGCGGATCTCGTAAAGATGATGAGTGCTGCTGTTAGTGATTTTAAGGCCAGCAGAGGCTGGTTCGACAACTTCAAGAAGCATAGTGGCATACACAGTGTTGTAAGGCATGACGAGGCTGCAAGTTCATACAAAAGTGCGGCTGAAAAATTCATGCATGAATTCAAGGACTATGTGAAGGCTGAAGGATTCATCCCCCAACGAGTGTTCAATTGTGATGAAACAGGTCTCTTTTGGAAGAAAATGCGAAAGAGTACCTACATCACGCAGGAGGAAAAAGCACTGCGAAGACACAAGCCTATGAAGGATAGGCTAACTTTTGTTCTGTGCTAATGCTAGTGGGAATTTCAAATGAAGTCTTTACTGGTGTATCACTCTGAAAATCGCAGAGTGTTCAAGAAAAACAATGTCGTCATGCATAGATTGTGTGTGATGTGGAGGGCTGACAATAAGGCATTGGTCACAATGCAAATTTTCATTGACTGGATCCATGAAGTGTTTGGCCTCAGTGTGGAAAAATACCTCCAGGAAAATAAATTGCCACTCAAGGACCTCCTGGTACTGGACAATGCTCCTGCTCATCCTCCAAACTTGGTAGACCAGTTGTCTATGATCTTCAGTTTTATAACAGTGAAGCTCTTGCCTCCTAACACCACTCCTCTCATCCAGCCCATGGACTAGCAGGTCATTTCAAACTTCAAAAAACTACACAAAAGCAGTGTTTCAAAGGTGCTTTGAAGTGACCTCAGACACTGAATTGACCCTAAGAGAGTTCTGGAGGAATCACTTGAGTATCTACAACTGCTTAAGCCTTATAGGTAAGGCTTGGCAAGGAGTGACTTCCAGGACTTTGAACTCTGCTTGGAGAAAATTTTGGCCAGATTGTGTCCAAGAGAAGGATTTTGAAGGGTTTGAGGCTGACCCTGTCAACCCTACTCTTGTTGTAGAATCTATTGTGTCTTTGGGGATGTCCATGGGGTTGGAGGTGAATGGCCAGGGTGTGGAAGAGTTGGTGGAGGACCACAATGAAGACCTAACCATACAGTAGATTGGAAAAATAATGTAAGGGACCTGGGAGTAGTAATGTCTGAGGATCTCACTTTCAAGGATCACAACAGTGCCACGATCGCATGTGCAAAGAAAATGATAGGATGGATAATGAGAACATTCAAAAAGAGAGATGCCAAGCCAATGATGATCCTTTTCAAATCACTTGTTCTCTCTAGGCTGGAATACTGCTGTACATTAACATCTCCATTCAAAGCAGGTGAAATCGCAGATCTAGAGAGTGTACAGAGATCCTTTACTGCACGTATAAGTTCTGTCAAGCACCTTAACTACTGGGAATGCTTGGAAACACTTGACTTGTACTCGTTGGAATGCAGGAGGGAGAGATATATCATAATCTACGCTTGGAAAATCGTGGAAGGAATGGTCCCAAATCTGCACACAGAAATCACTCCCTACGAAAATAAAAGACTGGGCAGGCGATGCAAAATGCCCTCAATAAAAAGTAGGGGCGCCATTGGTACACTAAGGGAAAACACCATAAGTGTCCGGGGCCCAAGACTGTTCAACAGCCTCCCATCAAGCATTAGGGGAATTGCCAATAAACCCCTGGCTGCCTTCAAGAGAGAGCTGGGCAGATACCTAAAGTCAGTGCTGGATCAGCTGGGCTGTGGCTCGTACGTTGGACTGCGTGTGGCCAGCAGTAACAGCCTAGTTGATCAGGCCCTGATCCATCAGGAGGCCTGGTCATGGACCGGGCCATGGGGGCATTGATCCCCGGAATAACCTCCAGGTAACCAGGTAAGACCTTCATCTGGAACAGCAACAGACCACAGCTGAGGAACTTGCTTCAGAGGAGGAGGAGGAGGGAGGGAAGGAGGTGCCTTCTTCAGAGATTGAAATTTGTGCATTGTGCAGTCGGGTGCAAGCTTTTGTTGGGATATAGCACCTTGAGCATGCTGAAACAAGCCATATCTGCAACATGTTCAGTGACAAAACCATGTCCCATTTCAGACAAATGTTAGAGAGACACCAGAAACAGACCTCTCTGGACGTTTTTTTGTGCCACAGGGGTCCAGTGACTCAAGCTGGTCCTAGTGCCATTACAAAACAAAGAAGAGAAGTAACCCCGGATAGGGACTTGATACCTGAGGTCCTTATAGAGGGGGATTTCCCTTCCAAACAACAAGAAGTCCTCCGCCTTTCCTCCCTGTCTTCCATATGCCGACAAGAGTCTTCAGTAAAGGTATGTAAATGTTTATTTATCTATTTTATTAGTCATTTAAGTACTATATGTTTTTATAATTTTTTGTTTGTAAAACTATAGTTATTCCTAAAAAAATGTATTTTTTAATATTTTTGGGTGTCTAGAACGGATTAATTGGATTTATGTACATTATTTCTTATGGGAAATATTGCTTTGACTTTCGAACAATTTGAGTTCCAGCCAAGCTTCTGGAATGGATTACGGCCAAAACTTGAGGTTCCACTGTGTTTGGGTTATATAAGTGACTCGTAGCATTGTTCTACAGCACTTTTATTTACTTACTAGTGATTAAGCACATTACACACTTATAAAGCTGTTTCCATTATTGTTAGGAAGATTTACAAAATTTATTTATTGTATCAGAAAATGTACAATGCTAATTACCAGTGTCAAGGAGCCTTGATGCTGGTGAGGGGCTCTTGATCCTGGGAATTGGATCTGTGCTCCAGTTCCCTAAATTAATAATATAATAATAATAATAATAATAATGAGGAGCTTAGAACACCGCCACTAGTTGGCGCAGTGAATGCCAAAACATCCGCTCAGCAGTGGAAGCATTTCTCTCGTGCTTTGCTTGCATTTTGTTGTTATTTTGCCAATTTTTTTTTCTAACCATGGGTCCTAAGAAAGTGAGTGCAAAGGACAGTGCTGAGAAGAAAAAAGATGATGTCCTTGGAATTAAAGCATGAAATCATAGATAAGCAAGCAAGGTGTGCGGGTTGTGGGTTGAGGGGGAAGTGGGGGAAGCTCGCTCGTATCTTGGATGTTGGCTTGTAACTTGGAGCAAAAAATTGACTGAGCGACGGCTCGTATCTCGAAAAACTCTTTTATGTTGGGACACTCATAAGTCGAGGTTCCACTGTATGTGTACTGTAGTATAAAATATGTTACAGGTTTTGCATTTGTTGTACATAATTCAGATGCTTTTGGAGCTTAATTTCCACTGTCCAGGACAAGGTCACCTTTTATCACTGGAACCATACAACAGTACAGCTGGTAAAGCATCTTCACATCTTAGATACACCATAGCCCAAGGGTATCCAGCTATTTTTACTGGCTGGTGTAGCTCAGGTAGGAAAGGTGCTGCTATCCTGGACAACAAGGGCAAGCCCTCTTTGAGGTTAGAGGGTACAGTATTTTCTTATGCAGTATGATGAAACTTTATTTACCGTGAATTTACTCAGCATGTAGTTGTCAACCTGGGGATTTCATAGCATACATATTGTATTAATTTTCAGTGCACCTGTTTACCTTGTTTTTAGCTGACGTGGGATAATGTGTTTTTGACTACTTTTTTTAATCCTACTAATCTGTGAGTTACATTTACTATTCACAGGTCTTTCAGGAACATTCATCAATGCAGTTCTAATGATTAAACAATTGTACTGTACAATAATGTTAATTTATCAAATCACAAAATAAGTAGGGCTCAGACTTATGGGAAATCCTAAAACTTGCAGGTCATGGGTTCAGGTCCCTCCCATTCTGTGACGTGTTTGCAGTCATGCTGTTATGGCTATCAGACATTTGGCCGATGGCCATTTCACCGAAGGACACTTTACTGACAGATATTTCACCAAAGAACATCTGACTGAACGGACATTTCATGGTACGGGTATATGGCTGACCTGGTATTCATCACAGTGCATTTCCTAAACATTAAAAAGAAATAGTAGTTGGTAGTAGGTTGGTAGACAGCAACCACCAAGGGGGGTACTACAGTCCTGCCAGGTGAGTGTGAAACGAAAGCCTGTAATTGTTTTACATGATGGTAGGATTGCTGGTGTCTTTTTGTCTGTCTCATAAATATGCAAGATTACAGGCACGTCTTGCTACTTCTACTTACACTTAGGTCACACTACACATACATGTACATGTTTATTTATACACACTCATCTGAGTTTCCTTTGATTGTATCTTAATAGTTCTTGGTCTTATTACTTTTCCTTTTATATCTATGGGGAAGTGAAATAAGAATCTCAACTCCGTAAGCCATGGTGTTGTAAAAATCAACTAAAATGCTGGTAACAGTGGGCTAGTAACCCCTTTTCCTGTAATAATTACTAAAAAGAATAGGAAGAAGAAAATTGTCAAAGTGGGAAGTCTGAATGTGCATGGATGTTGTGCAAATGATAAGAAAGAGATGATTGTGGATGTTATGAATGAGAAGAAGCTAGATGTCCTGGCTTTAAGTGAAACAAAGCTGAAGGGGGTGGGAGAGTTTCAGGGGAAAGGGGAAAAATAGGTTTAGGTCAGGGGTTAATTTTTAGAGCAAAAGAGTAGTAGCAATAATGTTAAGGGCAATTATGGCAAAAAAAAAATGATAAAATGTTTTAAATTTAAAGGGGTTAGGGGAGTAAAATAAAGGGGGGATGTAAAAAAGGGGGGGTTATAGTAAGCGATATGCCCCTGGAGAAGGAGAAGTGTAGGGGAGATAGAGATTTTGGGAAATGTTGAGTGAATGCGGTGGAGTTTTAAACCAAGGGTGAGATAATGGAAATAAAAAAAAAGGAAAATACCGTGACGGGAAAACGATACACAAATAACCCCACTAAAAGACAGAAGCTTCGACGACGTTTCGGCCCGGGATTTGGCCCATTGACAAAGTCACCTAACAAGGAGGAGCAAAACGGCTATATATGGCAGGAAGAGGGGGAGGTAGTAGTAGTGGTAGTTGTAGTAGTAGTAGTACAAGAATTGTATATAATCCCGACGGGTGAAATGACACATCACAACCCCGGGGGACCCCCCACCGTAGGGGTTTCCCTCCAGCCACCCCACGGATGGCAAAAACCCCCCCAAAAACAAAAAACCAGACCCCGCACAGGGTTAATTTCATCATAGATGTAGAGGAGAAGGGGTAGTAGTGTGGTATGGTAGAAGTGGGAAATAAGGAAGACGACCAGTCAAAACAAAGGAAGGGGGGGCACTGAAAGAGAGCAAAAACCCCCACAGGGAGGAGAAGCGCACCGAGGTGCGTAAAAGGGGGGAAGTGGTGAAAAAATTTAAAAAAGGAAACAAAAACACGAGAAGGAGAGGAAAAACAACCGAGGAAAAAGGAAGGGGAAAAGGGGGGAAGAGGAAGAGGAAAAAGAAAAAAGAAAAAATGGATTCGGGTTAAGCCGGGGGGTTCGGAAGTTTGGAGATTTTACAATGTAGTGGGAGGGGAAAAGGCATCTACAGAGACGAAGCCAGGGTAAGGTTTTCATACAAGGAAAGTTGTGTATAAGAGGGTTTCAACTAAACGGCGACTGTTGGGGGTTGGAAGTAGGGAAGCAGTTTTAGCGAAGACCGCAATAGGAGGTTGATCTTGCGTGACAGAAAAGAGCATTGTTGTGTCGGCAACCCTAACCTATTTTTGTGCTCCCAATCTGTAAAAGAGATCGACAGTTTCCCCCAAAGTATTGAAGAGGACAGGGGGAGCAAGAAATAGAGTAGACCCAGGAACGGTAGAGGGGGGAGGGGTAGAACGAGATAGGCGAAGAGTGTTAGTTGGGGGAAAGGAAAGTTGAGGTCTAAGGGACGGAGAAATTGTTGGTTTAGAAAGCCCGGGAAAATGTGGGGAAAGGGCAGGGGATAAAAGATTTCCCCATGAGTAGAGAGTTTGGGGAAAAGAAATTGCTTTTAGCACGTGAGGGGGAGAGTCTATGAAATGGGAAGGGTAGCCAAGACGGGGAAACAAATTATAAGAGTGTGTCTTGTCTTGACTCACCCCCTACCTCCTCGTTTCCAACCCCTTGACGCTAAAGAGAACTTTCAACAAAAAACAAAGGGACTCTCTCCGACCTCTGTCCCCCCTGACTTTGCCCTTGTTCAACGGTTTGTGTATCTGCCCTTCTTCCCTTTTTTTAGGGCCCTTCCCCAAACTAAAAACCCTGTTTTCCTCTTCGCCCTACTATCCTCAAGGGGTTCTGTCTTTATTCTTTTGCTTTTGGCGGGCCAAAACCCCTCCTCCCTTTTTGGTACTTTTTCCCCTGCCCACCCCCGCACTCTCAAAAACTTCATTGAACGGGTTTGCCCTCCAACCCCTAAGTGCTTAGTCTTGACGTTGATCCCTCTTCACCAATTTCCCCTTTGAGATCCCTTTATTTTTCCCTTTGAGAGAAGGGGCCCTGAAGGGTTTCTTCATTCCCTATCCCCCCCTGATGTCTTTCTGATCTATCCGCCCGGTGGATCTAACTCTTTTCCTTCCAAGGGAAATTTTTTCCAAACCCTTTGGTGTCGCTATGGGCTTCCTCTTCTCCTGTCCTGCTAAACTTTACATGGAATACTTTTGAGATGTTCTTCTCCCACCCTCGTTGCAACCCTTTATCTGGGTCCCCTTGTGGTGACTCTTTTGCTCTGTGGCCCATGACTCCAGTCTTTCCAACCTTTTCTTTAAGCTCTTTAACAATTTTTCCCCTTCCCATTAAGTTTTTAAAACTGAATGGGAACTAATTCCTTACTTCCTTTCCTTTATGTCCATGTCCCCCGCTCAGGGTACAGTTTTTCCTTTTTCCCTTTACCGTAAACCTATGCACAGTGGCATGTACATTTATACTTTTCCTATCATGCTTCCCCGTCAAGAAAAGTGTTCTTACCCCTCTTTCTCCGGCCCTCCGTCTGGATCCCCAGTTTCCCTTCCCGCAGAAATTTCACTCTTTTAAAAATTTTTCTCCCTCTTGGCTACCCCTTTCCCCTTTCATAACTCGCCCTTAGTGCTAAACGCAATTTTTTTCTTTCCCCAAAATTTACTATGGGAATCTTCTTCTTGCCTTCCCCACATTTCCGGGCTTTTTTAATCTCAACAAATTTCTCCGCCCTTAGACTCAAGTTTTTCCGCCAGGGGCTACACTTTGCACTAAATTTGTTTTTCCTCCCCCCCAAAAAGATGTTTTCCCGGTGTCTACTCTATTTTTGCCCCCCTGTCCCCCTTCAAACTTTGGAGAAATGGTGATCTCTTTTTGACAGACTTTGGGGGCCAAAAAAGTGTTAGGTTGCCGACACTAACAATGCCTTTTGTCCTCAGAGATCATAGCCCTCCCATTGATGGTCTTTTGCTAAAAAATGTCTTCCCCACTTCCAACTCGAACAGTCGGTTAGTTGAATTCTTCTTTAAAAACAACTTTTTTGGGAAACCCTTTGCCTGGTTCGTCTCTGTAGTGCCCTTTCCCCTCCCCCTACATTGTAAAATGCCCAAAATTCAGAACACCCGTGACTTAACTGAATCCATTTTTTTTTTTCTTCTTTTTTCCCCTTCTTTCCCCTTTTCTCTCCCTTTTTCCTTGGGTTGTCTTTCTCCCCTGTCTCGTGTTTTTTTCTTCTTTATTTTTTTTTCACCATTCCCCCCTTTTACGCACCTCGGTGCGCTTGCTCTCTCCCCGGGGTTTCTAGCTCTCTTTCAGTGCCCCTTCCTTTTTTATTTTACTGGCTCCTTCCTTTTTTCCCATTCTAACACTACCACTACTTCCTCTTTTCTTCTACTACATTCCGAGAAATTTTGACCCCCGTGCGGCGTCTGGTTTCTTTTTTTTGGGGGGGTTTGCCCTCCAGTGGCTGGCTGGGTGGCGAAAAGTTACGGTGGGGTGCCCGATGTTGTGCATGTGTCTTTCATCCTGTCGGTATTATTACAATTCTTGTACTATATACTACTACAATACCACTACTATACCTCCACCTTTCCGCCCATATATAGCGTTTGCTCCTCCCTGTTGTGTGACTTTGTCAATGGCAAGTCGGACCGAAACGTCGTCGTAAGCTTCTGTCTTTTATGTGCGGGTTATTTGTGTAGAGTAATGGTAGTTGGGGACTTCAATGCTAAAGTGGGCAAAAATGTTGTGGAGGGAGTAGTAGGTAAATTTGGGGTGCCAGGGGTAAATGAAAATGAGCCTTTAATTGAGCTATGTGTAGAAAGAGGTTTGGTAATAAGTAATACATATTTTATGAAGAAGAGGATAAATAAATATACAAGGTGTGATATAGCACGTAATGAAAGTAGTTTGTTAGATTATGTATTGGTGGATAAAAGGTTGATGGGTAGGCTCCAGGATGTACACGTTCATAGAGGGGCAACTGATATATCGGATCATTATTTAGTTGTAGCTACAGTTAGAAGTAGATGGGAAAAGAGGAAAATGGCAACAACAAGCAAGAGGGAGGTGAAAGTGTATAAACTAAGGGAGGAGGAAGTTCGGGTGAGATATAAGCAACTATTGGCAGAAAGATGGGCTGGTGCAAGTATGAGTAGTGTGGGGGTTGAAGAGGGTTGGAATAGTTTTAAAAATGCAGTATTAGAATGTGGAGCAGGAGTTTGTGGTTATAGGAGAGTGGGTGCAGGAGGAATGAGGAGTGATTGGTGGAATGATGAAGTAAAGGGTGTGATAAAAGAGAAAAAGTTAGCTTACGAGATGCTTTTACAAAGCAGAAGTGTTATAAGAAGAGTAGAGTATATGGAGAGTAAAAGAAAGGTGAAGAGAGTGGTGAGAGAGTGCAAAAGGAGAGCAGATGCTAGAGTGGGAGAGTCACTGTCAAGAAATTTTAATGAAAATAAGGAAAAATTTTGGAGTGAGTTAAACAAGTTAAGAAAGCCTAGGGAACGTATGGATTTGTCAGTTAAAAACAGAGTAGGGGAGTTAGTAGATGGGGAGATGGCAGTTTTGGGTAGATGGCAAGAATAATTTGAGGAACTTTTAAATGTCGACGAAGAAAGGGAAGCGGTAATTTCATGCACTGGCCAGGGAGTTATACCATCTTTTAGGAGTGAAGAAGAACTGGATGTGAGTGTGGGGGAAGTGCATGAGGCATTATGTAGAATGAAAGGGGGTAAAGCAGCTGGAACTGATGGGATCATGACAAATGTTAAAAGCAGGGGGGGGATATAGTATTGGAGTGGTTGGTATTTTTGTTTAATAAATGTATGAAAGAGGGGAAGGTACCTAGGGATTGGCAGAGAGCATGTATAGTCCCTTTATATAAAGGGAAGGGGGACAAAAGTGATTGTAAAAATTATAGAGGAATAAGTTTACTGAGTATACCAGGAAAAGTGTATGGTAGGGTTATAATTGAAATAATTAGAGGTAAGACATAATGTAGGATTGTGGATGAGCAAGGAGGTTTCAGAGTGGGTAGGGGATGTGTAAATCAAGTGTTTACATTGAGGCATATATGTGAACAGTATTTAGATAAAGGTAGGGAAGTTTTTATTGCATTTATGGATTTAGAAAAGGCATATGATAGTGGATAGGGGAGCAATGTGGCAGATGTTGCAAGTATATGGAATAGGTGGTAAGTTACTAAATGCCGTAAAGAGTTTTTATGAGGATAGTGAGGCTCAGGTTAGGGTGTGTAGAAGAGAGGGAGACTACTTCGCAGTAAAAGTGGGTCTTAGACAGGGATGTGTAACGTCACCATGGTTGTTTAATATATTTATAGATGGGGTTGTAAAAGAAGTAAATGCTAGGGTGTTCAGGAGGGGGGTGGGATTAAATTATGGGGAATCAAATTCAAAATGGGAATTGACACAGTTGCTTTTTGCTGATGATACTGTGCTTATGGGAGATTCTAAAGAAAAATTGCAAAGGTTAGTGGACGAGTTTGGGAGTGTGTGTAAAGGTAGAAAGTTGAAAGTGAACATAGAAAAGAGTAAAGTGAGGAGGGTATCAAGTGATTTAGATAAAGAAAAATTGGATATCAAATTGGGAAGGAGGAGTATGGAAGAAGTGAATGTTTTCAGATACTTGGGAGTTGACATGTCGATGGATGGATTTATGAAGGATGAGGTTAATCATAGAATTGATCAGGGAAAAAAAGGTGAGTGGTGCGTTGAGGTATATGTGGAGACAAAAAACGTTATCTATGGAGGCAAAGAAGGAAATGTATGAAAGTATAGTAGTACCAACACTCTTATATGGGTGTGAAGCTTGGGTTGTGAATACAGCAGCGAGGTGGCGGTTGGAGGCAGTGGAGATGTCCTGTCTATGGGCAATGTGTGGTGTAAATATTATGCAGAAAATTCGGAGTGTGGAAATTAGGAGAAGGTGTGGAGTTAATAAAAGTATTAGTCAGAAGGCTGAAGAGTGGTTGTTGAGGTGGTTTGGTCATTTAGAGAGAATGGATCAAAGTAGAATGACATGGAGAGCGTATAAATCTGTAGGGTTAGGAAGGCGGGGTAGGGGCCATCCTCGAAAAGGTTGGAAGGAGGGGGTAAAGGAGGTTTTGTGGGCGAGGGGCTTGGACTTCCAGCAAGCGTGCATGAGCGTGTTAGGAGTGAATGGAGACAAATGGTATTTGGGACCTGACGAGCTGTTGGAGTGTGAGCAGGGTAATATTTAGTGAAGGGATTCAGGGAAACCGGTTATTTTTATATAGCCGGACTTGAGTCCTGGAAATGGGAAGTACTATGCCTGCACTCTAAAGGAGGGGTTCAGGATATTAGCAGTTTGGAGGGATATGTTGTGTATCTTTATACGTATATACTTCTAAACTGTTGTATTCTGAGCACCTCTGCAAAAACAGTGATTATATGTAAGTGAGGTGAAAGTGTTGAATGATGATGAAAGTATTTTCTTTTTGGGGATTTTCTTTCTTTTTTGGGTCACCCTGCCTCGGTGGAAGACGGCTGACTTTAAAAAAAAAAAAATAACAAACCTAGCCTTACCCAATCTTAATTACCCATTTGGTCATTTGTTTAGCCAAATGGCTGTCAGAACAGTGTCCATTCAGCCAATTTAATATCATGAGTAATGTTAATTTCACTGTGTTCAGTGGATTTATAACTGAAGGTTAGAATTCTGTAATACAAACCAGTTAAAATTTGCATAGTAGGATATACCTACCTGGAGTATACCTGGAGAGTGTGTTGGGGGTCATTGCCCCTGTGGCTCGATCTGAGACCAGACCTCGTTGTGGATTAGGGTCTGATCAACCAGGCTGTTACTGCTGGCCACACACAAATTGATGTATGAATTACAGCCTGGATGGTCAAGTACTGACTTTAGGTGCCTGTCCATTGCCTTCTTGAAGACAGCTGGAGGTCTATTGGTAATCCCCCTTATGTATGCTGGGAGGCAGTTGAACAGTCTTGTCTGTGTACTCGTGGTGCCCCTGCTTGTCATTGGGGGAATGTTGCATCTCCTGCTGAGTCTTTTACTTTCATATGGAGTGATTTTCGTGTGCAAGTTTGGTACTAATTCTTCTAGGATTTTCTAAGTGTATATTATCATGTATCTCTCTTGCCTGCATTCCAGGGAATGCAAATCAAGGGCTTCAACTGTATCCAGTAATTTAGGTGCCTTATCATATTTATGTGTGCTGTGAAAGTTCTTTGTACACTCCAGGTCAGCAATTTTGCCTGCCTTGGAAGGGGCAGTTAGTGTAGAGCAGTATTCCAGCCTAGAGGAAACAAGCGATTTGAAGAGAATTATGGGCTTGGCATCCCTAGTTTTGAAGGGTCTCATTATCCATCCTATCATTTTCCTAGCAGATGCGATAGATATATTGTGGGCTTTGAAGGTGAGATCCTCTTACATTATCACTCCCAGGTTCTTCACATTACTTTTTCACTTTATTGTATGGTTAGAATTTGGTGTATACCCTGATGCAGTTTTAATTTCCTTGAGTTTTCCATATCTGAGCAGTTGAAATATTTCTTCATTAAACTTCACATTGTTTTGAGTGGCCCTTTGAAGATTTGGTTGATGTCTGCTTGAAGTCTTGCAGTGTCTTTGATGGAGGTCACTGTCATGGCAATTCAGGTGTCATCTGCAAAGGAACACACAGAGCTATAGCTTACATCTCTGTCAGATGTGAGGTTGAGGAATGGGATGGGAGCGAGTATTCAGTACTGTGCCTTGTGGAACATAGCTTTTCACCGTAGCTGTCTCGGACTTTACTTTGTGTTCTATTTGTCAGGAAGTTATAGAGCCATCTACCAACTTTTCCTGTTATTCCTTTATCACACATTTTGTGCGCTATTACACCATGGTCACACTTGTCGAAGGCTTTTGCAAAGTCTGTGTATACCGCATCTGTATTTTGTTTATCCTCTGCAGCATCCAGGACCTTGTCATAGTGGTCCAGTAGCTGAGACAGGCAGGAGCGACCTGCTCTAAACCCATGTTGCCCTGGGTTGTGTAATTGATGAGTATCTAGGTGGTTGGCAATCTTGCTTCTTAGAACCCTTTCAAAGATTTTTATGATATGGGATGTTAGTGCTATCAGTCTGTAGTTCTTTGCAATTGCTTTGCTGCCACCTTTGTAGAGTGGGGCTGTGTCTGTTGTTGTTTTTAGCGAGTGTGGAATGACCCCTGTGTCCATGGTCCCTCCATAGAATGCTGAAGGCATGTGACAGGGGCTTCTTGCAGTTCTTAATGAACACTGAGTTCCATGAGTCTAGGCCTGGGGCAGAGTGCATGGGCATGTCATTTATTGCCTTTTCAAAGTCTTGTGGTGTTAGGATAATATCTGAGATTTTTAAGATGACCAAATTTTGGCTCTCATTCATATTCTTAAAATGAAATTGTTCTGCAGGCTGTACACATGCTTGATGGCTTGCCTGGAGAACCTGTACATCCGGAGGTGCGGAAGTTTTGTTCAGCTATGAATAAGCAAAAAGTTAACCGTGGGGTAAGCGTGTTAGCATTTCATATTTAATGGCATTTGTATTATGTAATATTACTGAAATGATGATGTTAATTCAGCATTTATCTGTAGTTATTTTTGTATTGCTCTACGTCCCTAAATATCAATATAATTTTTGTGAAATTCTTAGCATTTTTTTTCCTTTAGCATTCAACTTAAATATTTATAGAAGTAAGATATAATGGCTTTATAGGAATCTACAAAAAATAAAGTTTAAAGTAAAAGTGAAATCTTGATTTTGAGAGAGAAAGTATCTTGATAGTGAAGCTAATGCATATATAGTAAAATTGTCAGTGATCTTTAATATTAAGAATTAAGCTTAATGCTAGTGGCACTGGTAATGTGAGTGATAAAGTACTGATAATGTGAAATGTGAAGTACTGTATTAATGAATGTACAGTGTAATCATACAGATTTACGTAGATTTGTTGTGTGTAAATTTGCTTGTATTTGATATCTCTGTTTCTTTCATTAATTAGCTCTGTAATGTAAATTCCTCTTATGTAATCAGTCCATTATGCACAACACAAGTAACCAAGGATGTTGTATGCACAATTAGGTGCTTTGTACATTGCAAGATAACATCATAACACAGCATTGTCTCATCATGGCCACTTGCTTTTCATTGCATTTTCTTGTTTTTGCAGAGTCCTACTAGCCCATTTCCTAACCTAACCACTGAGCCATTTATGAGGTGCAAGATAATTTTCCTAACACTGGAGATATTGAATCATTCAGTTGCTATAGAAAGGAAGTTCCAAAGCACGAGTTCTTTGATACAGTTAACACTACTTAATGCCAAGGTAACAGAAGAGAGTGAGAAAGCCACTGCTGGAAAATATGGAGAAAAAATTGGGGAGGGGGGGGGAATCATAACCAAAGGAAAATAGATTTCTAATCGACCAAACAGCAATTCATGGCTATTTGGGGTTATTTTGACAAATTTCTTGAGCCTCTTGCTGCAGAGCTCAGTTCTTTCTGAAATATGTTTAGAAGACACTGTATCATCAGTAACTTGAATCTATATAAAAATTAAGCTTAAAAGGATAAATACAATTAGAAAAGGGACAGGTGAAGAGAAAAATGTCAACAAACCTTTTCAAATATTCCAGACCTCAAAAACAAAAATAAATACTGGTTAAGCAAATTCAAAACATTAGGCAAAAACTGAAGGAATTATCAAAGGCTCTGGAAATTATAAATGGTCATCAGTAAAACTGATAAAAATCTCAAAGCTTTTTTTTTTTCTCCTTTAGAAAGTCCACCCCTCTTCAAGGGGGGCTCCTTGGCGTGGTGAAGAGGCTCCTGGTCTGAGGAATTAGACCTGTCGGTCTCCTTCCTCAGGCCGAACCTAATTACCCCCCAATCCCCCCTTCCCTATCCCATCCTCCCCTTTGTCCTTTCCTCCTCCTCCTCCCCTTTGTCCTTTCCTCCTCCTCCTCCCCACCCCTCCCTTTTGCCCTTCCTCTTTTTGGCCTTTGGGATTTTTCCCACAGGCACACTAGTTCATAGGTAGGGGGAAGGGTACGGGGTCCATCCCATTCCATTGAGGTTCTTGGCGGTGGCATAGTTTGCCGTGGGATCTGGATCGCCTGGGGATGTCCCGATCCCTCTCCGGTATCCCGGAGGGTGGCTTTGGGTGTCTTTTGGGCGACGGGTGTATCTCTGGAAGCCACCTTTCGGATTCCGGGGGTGGTGGCTGAAGGAGGTATGCTTTGTGGCGGATATCCGGCCGCCCTCTCTTTTGTCCACCAAGGTAGCTCGGCAGATGTGAGGTTGCTATCGCGGATTGCTATGCTTCCAGCCTCTCCCTCTATGGAGCGACGATTTTCGAATCGCCAGCTCGTCTCACGTCGGACCGACTCTGGTCCCAATTCTTAACGCCAACGACAATCTCCTGACGATGTTACTTCGTTACCTTCCCATTCTACTCGGAAAAGACCGACACGTCATGCACTCCCTCTCCACACTGTTTTGGACCACACAATGGACTAAATTCTTTACTTTACGACCGACTTCTACTGCCTATCTTTCTGACCATAGTATTGGCAAAGCGCTCCTACGCCACGTTGGTAGAGATATTTCCTTTCATGCTCTTAAGAGTGGCATGCGCATCATCACAGTCCAGAATTCTACCCAAGCTCATGATCTTTCTCTTCTTTCACATATTGATACTATTCCTATCACTATCAAAAAACATCATTCCCTCAATTCTTGTAGTGGTACTGTTATTCTGCCCCATACCATAGTCCAACAGAATTTCCAGACATGTGGCAATGACAGTCCCGAACAGCTGGAACTCCAAGATCTCCCAATTCTCAAGGTAGACACTTGTGTTCTTCCCGCCCGTGGGCGAAGACGATACCCTTGCAATGTGGCTCGTTTAACTTTTGACAGCCATGAACTCCCATCCTCTGTTAATGTAGCAGGACATCGGTTACAAGTTTGGAAGGTGATCCCTACACAGCAACAGTGTAGGAATTGCTGGCAATTTGGCCACCCAGTAAAATATTGCAGATCTATAGCCAAATGCCCAGTCTGTGGTGCCGATGACCATTCTAATACATCTTGCAGTTGACCTCCCTCTTGCCTTAATTATCATGAGGCTCGCCCTTCGTACTCTCGCCGTTGCCAGGTCTACTTAAATGAGCGGGAAATTCGTTGCCTCAAAGAGGCAGAAGGTCTCCCTTATGCTATGGCAGTTTCTCATCTCCGCCTCCAACGGAGACTACCGTGTGTTTCTTATCCTCGTGTTTCAAAACGTCCCCTCACTTCTGGGGTCTCATCTTCTGCAGCCTCCTCTGTGGTTGCCAGTCCCATAGTCACTCCTGTATCTAATTCTTTTGCTGTCCTGGGCTCAGACGTCCCTACTTCAACACCTCAGTCTGTCCTCACTTCTTCGTGTTCTCCCTCACAAACCCCGGTATTGACAAGACTTCGTACGACACCTCCTCCCAATCGTCCCTCTACTTCTCAAAGGTCCAACAAATCTCCTTTAGCCCCTCCTTTCCTTCATCCACCTCCACATTTTACCTTCCTGGTCTCTGTACCTAGGTCTTCCCCTTTCACTGACTCCGTTGCAAGTGTGGAGGTTCATCCTCCTCGTATTGTGCCTTCCTCCCCTGTCCCGTCCCAAGCTTCTTCCTTTTCTGCCACCTCCCGGGTTTCTGCCTCTTCTGTCCCCTCCCACACTTCTCCAGTTCCCTCCACCCTTTCGCCCCCCCATACCTTGGTACAGTCCATTACAGCTCCGATCTTTACTCAAACTCCTCCTCCTTCCATCTCCAATATTGTCTCCCATACGACGTCTCTGAACTCCGAAACACTTGAAGCAATCTCTGAATATATTGCAGAGACCAAACCATCAATGGACACTGATCCACCCTCTGTTCCTTCTCTTTCCTCTTCTCCATCTGCGCAACTCCTTTCTTCACAACGCACAGTTCCTTCGCTACTTGAACGTTTTCCCTTCCCACCGCATGTGGACTTTTCTAACCCTTCTAGTCCGTAGGTACCCTTACCTGCAGATTTCAGGTATGTTTATCGTTGCCAATCATGGCCTACTTACAGTGGAATATTCGCGGCCTCAGGGGTAATTGGGGTGAGCTTCAGATGTTGCTCTCCCAGTTTTTCCCTGTTGGTGTTTGCTTACAGGAACCAAAATTACACTGTCGTTATCTATCCCATCTCAGGCTATAATTTATTGTATTCTTCAGATCATTTTCCTGATGGGACCTTTAATGAAAGTGTCCTTCTTCTACGCACTGATATTCCGTACCATCAACTATTTGTTCGTACTTCGCTGCATTACACAGCAGCCCGTATCCACTTGCATAGGTGGTATACACTCTGTTCTTTGTATCTCTCTCCTTCTTGGGCATTATCTATCCTGGATATTGCCTTTCTTGTTTCATCATTACCGCCACCACTTCTGTACGGCGATTTTAATACCCATCATTTCCTCTGGGGGGGGGGTCTCACTGTGATTCCTGTGGCATTCAGTTAGAGGCTTTTCTTGCTACCCACCCCCTCCATGTTTTAAATACAGGTACTCCCACCCATTTTGATCCTCGGACTCATACTCTCTCTTGCATCTATCTCTCAGTCTGCTCTTCCTCTGCCGCATTAGACTTCACCTGGTCTGTTCTCCCGCATTTACATGATAGCGATTATTTCCCAATCATTCTTACTTCCCCTTCATATTCACCACCTCTTCGTAACCCACGCTGGCAATTTGATCAGGCAAATTGGAACCTTTACTCACAACTAACTGTTTTTAGTGAGGTTCCTTCTTCGTCCTCCATTGGTGAGCTTTTACACCTCTTCTTGTCCTCCATTTTAACCGCAGCTTCTCATTCTGTACCCCAAACTTTGGGCAGGCATTCTCAGAAATGAGTGCCTTGGTGGTCTCCTGCTTGTGCTCGTGCAGTATGTTTGAAACGCGCTGCGTGGGGCAGGTACCGGTACAATAGAACCACGGAGAGACTTCTTGATTTTAAGCAGAAGCGTGCGATCGCTCACCGTGTCATCCATGACGCTAAACGCACTTGCTGGTGAGATTGTCTCCACCATCACCTCTGCTTCCTCTATGAGTGCAGTCTGGAAAAAAGTACGAAAACTGAGTGGTAAATATTCTCTTGACCCAGCTCCTGTTCTGCGGGTTGCCGGTGTTGATATAGCAAACCCACTAGATGTTGCCAATGAAATTGGCAATCATCTAGTCTGTATTTCTCTGGGGCTCCATCTATGCCCCTCGTTTCTTTCCTCAAAGTCTGCCAGGGAGTTAGCACCCTTGGACTTTTCTTCTCTCAGAGAAGAACAGTATAATGTGCCTTTTACACTTCAGGAACTGGAGGCAACACTCTCAGCTTGCCGATCATCGGCAGCTGGGCCCGACGACATTCATATTCGTATGCTACAACATTTACATCAGTCAGCCCTTGCAGTCCTCTTACGCCATTTCAATCTTACTTGGTCACAAGGAGTTTTTCCACAGCTGTGGAAATCTGCCATTGTTCTCCCTTTCCGCAAACTGGGTACTACGGGACATGAAGCCTCCCACTATCATCCCATTGCTCTTACCAGTGCAGTTTGCAAAGTAATGGAACGCCTGGTAAATAGATGTTTAGTGTGGTATTTAGAGACACACAACAGTCTCTCCACTCGTCAATATGGCTTTCGTAAGGGCTGTTCTACCATAGACCCCTTACTACGCTCGGATATGTACGTTAGTAATGCCTTTGCGAATAACCACTCAGTTATTGCCGTATTTTTTGACCTTGAGAAGGCATATGACACAACTTGGAGGTATAATATTTTGGCCCAAGCCCACTCCTTAGGCCTTCGAGGCAATCTACCATCCTTCCTTAAGAACTTTTTAACTGACGGACATTTCTGTGTTCGGGTTAATAATGTGCTCTCCTCAGACTTTATCCAAGCTGAAGGTGTCCCTCAGGGATGTGTTCTGAGCACAACACTTTTTCTCCTTGCTATAAATGATTAGGCCTCTAGTCTTCCATCCAATATTTGGTCATCACCCTATGTTGATGACTTCGCTATTTCCTATGCAGGCACTGACTGTCACCTCATTACAGTTTCTCTCCAGCATGCGGTAGACCGTGTTTCCAATTGGGCCACCACACATGGGTTTAAATTTTCCAGTATCAAAACTAGCCAAATTACTTTCACTAGATGCTCTGTCATCTCCGATCATCCTTTATAACTCTATGGCACCCTTATCCCTGAATGTGATACAGTCAGGTTTCTAGGCTTCCTTTTTGACCGTAGGTTATCCTGGAAACCGCACATTACCTCTCTGAAGACAACTTGTCACAGCCGGCTGAACCTTCTTAAAACCCTTGCTCATCTTTCATGGGGAGCTGATCGCCGAACTCTCCTTTGCCTACATTCCACCCTCATTTTATCAAAACTTGACTATGGTAACCAGATCTATTCAGCTGCCTCTCCTGCTACTCTATCTAGCCTCAACCCTATTCATCACCAAGGATTATGTTTATGCCTTGGTGCTTTTCGCTCTTCCCCTGTTGAGAGCCTCTGTGCAGAAGCGAACATTCCATCCTTATCCGATCGCCGTGATGCCCATTGCCTTCGTTACTATGTACGCTCTCATGATCTCCGCAATCCTTCCATTTATAGAATGGTCACCGATATTAGTAGACATTCTTTATTTGTTCACTGCCCCTGTTTGCTCCGTCCCTTCTCTCTTCGCCTACATTCACTCTTGTCTTCTCTTCAATTTCCACCTTTCTATGTTCATGTAGCATCTCACTTTTCCCTACCCCCCTGGGAAGTTCCAGATGTTCGAGTCTGTTCTTTCTCACTCCCTTGCTCGAAAGCCCAACTGTCTACGGTAACTTCCCGCTCTCTTTTTCTTGGCCACTTCCACTCTCATTCTCATGCCATTGCAGTGTACAGAGATGGCTCTAAGTCTTCTGACGGCGTAGGATTCGCAGCAGTGTTTCTGGACAGAGTCATATGAGGGCATTTACTATCTTTGGCTAGTATCTTTACCACTGAATTGTATGCCATTCTTGCAGCACTTATCCATATTGCATCTAGGCCTGTGTCATCATTTGTGGTTGTCTCAGACTCCGTTAGTGCTTTACAGGCTATACAGAAATTTGATACACCTCACCCCTTAGTCCTCCGTATCCGACTTTGGCTACGCCGCATCTCTACCAAGCATAATGATATTGTTTTTTGTTGGGTCCCTGGTCATGTTGACGTACAGGGCAATGAACAGGCAGACACTGCTGCGCGGTCAGCAGTACATGACCTACCAGTTTCATATAGAGGTGTTCCATTTCCGGACTATTTTGCTGCAATAGCTACCCACCTTCACACCCGTTGGCAACAACGTTGGTCTACTGTACTCGGTAACAAATTTCAATCTATTAAACCGAGTATAGGTTACTGGCCGTCTTCTTGTCACCAGTGCCAAGGTTGGGAGACTACTCTCTCCCGTCTCTGCATTGCCCATACTCGCCTTACTCATGGATATCTCACGGAGAGGTGCCCTGCTCCTCTCTGTGAGAATTGTCAGGTTCCATTATCGATCAGCCACATTCTGTTACTGCCCACTTTATCAACGAGCACGCAGAATTTACCTCCAATGTCGTCTTCGCTCCGCTGCTCTCTCTTTACCTTCCCTTCTCGCTGATTGACCCACCTTTCATCCGGACTCTCTCATTGACTTTTTGACAACAACTGACTTACTTCACAAACTCTGATGATACCTTCAGCCCTTTCTACCTCGATCTCTTGCTACCCTCTACCCTGCACTGTCCCCTGCCCCGCTGTTTTCTGTAACCTACTGATCGCCCCTCTCCCCTTCTGCTGCCCAATACCCTCGCTTTCTTTTCTACCCTGCAGCGCTGTATAGCCCTTGTGGCTTAGCGCTTCTTTTAGATTATAATAATAATAATAGAAAGTCCACCATTAACCCTTTGACTGTTTTGGTCGTATATATACATCTTATGAGCCAATGTGCTTGACGTATACATATATACTCAAAAATTCTAGCAGCTTCAAATCAAGCAGGAGAAAGCTGGTAGACCCACATGTGAGAGAATGGGTCTGTATGGTCAATGTGTGCAGTATAAAAAAAATCCTGCAGTATGCAGTGCATAACGAGGAAAAAACTCCATCCGTGTTTTTGTATTAAAACACTGACTTTGAGGTGTATTTTTGTATAGTATTTATGGTTGTATTCTTGTTTTCTTGGTCTCATTTGATAGAATGGAAAACATGTTATAGAAATAGAAGTGATTTTGGTTTTTTCTACGAAAAGGATCTTGAAATGGAGCTCAAAGTGGCAGAAATGTTCGATTTTTGCCGATGTTCAAGAGTAAACAAATGATGTCATTGTCCAGTAAATGTCCAACTAGCCATTCTAATATGCAGTCATGAATGGGTTGACGTTATTTATACAATTATTACAACATTGCAGTAATCTGCATAGCAGTAATCTGCATAGCAGGGGTTCGGAGACATGACTGATAACAGAGAAAATGTTATTTTAGTGCCAGGAATGTCTGCATTGTTCATTCTGGACCCTGTTTTGAAACTGACATATTTTTTAATTTGCGTGAAATGGGCTAAATTGCCAATTTCTAACCACTTTATTGGGTAGTTGAAATCAGTAAATGGGCAATTTCTTTTACTCAATCAATAGAACAAATGGAGTTCTAAAGAAATAGCTATGAGTTTGGTGGACTGGAGCAATGGAATTGGTCAAAAATAGGGCTCAATGTGGGCGAAATCGCCAATGCATAAATGCCGCCAAGGGTGCTAACTTTGCGAGAGCGTAATTCCGTAAGTTTTCCATCAAATTTTGTACTTTTGGTGTCATAATCATCAGGAAAAGATTCTCTCTCATTTCATAAGAATTTTTTTTTTTTTTTTTTTTTTTCCAAAAAAATATTTTGCGACTAGGAGACACTTCAGGGTTTGGGGTTCCGACAGTCAAAGGGTTATGCTTTTGTTTAAGGGAATTAGAACTTTAATTGAAGAAAAGCACCAAAAAGCAAAATACTGGGGCAGAATATAATTTAGTGATTTTATCATTGGTGAGTAATCTACATGTACTTTGGGGCATAGCCTTTATATGACATTATACTCGTATGCTTGCCTGTTTTCATTTGTTCTGATGCTTATGTTTAAATGCAATAGAAGAGTCTTCTGGCCTTGTAAATGCCAGTCCTTTAGCTTAATATATCATGGCATGAGAGTATCTCTGGGCTGAGCAAGGAGATCTTTCTGCTCATCATTAATGCACAGTCTGTAGGTGTCTGATGAAATAGCCCTTCATTCTTTTGGGTTCCTGCTACCAGGATGTGACCATCTTGATTCCACCTCTAACCAATAGCTGCTCTGTATAATGGGTGTGGTCGGTGTGATTTCAGGTGGGCCTTCCAGGTTTCTTCAGCATTTCTGTTTTGAAGGCCCTAGGAAAGTTTACTGTTCTGCCACTTTTCCCAGCTGTTGTGCATTAACTGATAACCGGATTCTGATGCACTCTGAAATTCAGGTGATGTTGATCATAACAAGTGAACAGTACTTGACAATCAGAAGTAAAGGTCATTGCTGAGCAGAAAATGGAGTTAGGTGAGTACAGTATCATTAAATAAAGTGTGGTATATTCCAGGTGGGGCCCCCAGTGTCCTAAAGCAGAAATATGTCTTCCATTAGGGTCAGATGACTGTCATATCTTACAACAAAAATGTAATGAACACCGATCATTGTCACAGACAAACCCACTTGGAGAAAATAACACACAAGATAAGAAATTGTTGAACAGTGTATTCTGACCTGTCACTGAGGCCCTCTAGCAGTCTGTTGAATTGGCCCCACCCCTCAAAGCCACTGAGGGCCTCTTGATCCAAGGAATTGAATTTAACCTCTCCTTCCTTGGATTAAACATGAAGGCCTTCCATTCCTCAGGTGCTGTATTACCCCTACAGATTTAACACTTCTCCGTGAATAAACTGAAAAAAAAAAAAAAAATACCGAGTTTAGTATTTGCGGTAGGAACAAGAAGCGGTGGGTTATTGTGGAACTGAACAGGTTTATTTTCTAAGGAAATGAATGTTGCTAAAATGGACTTTCATTAAAAATGAGTCAACATTAATTAAGGCCTAACCTTTCTGTCTTATGTAGCTGATATTTATACCTGTGTAATGTACATGTAATAATATTTAAGCAAATGTAAACATTTTTTTCATTGTGCTTTTCTGTTGCAGAGAACTATGCTTATATTGCAAAATCTTGTTTCTAAGTGCAGTCCAGTGGTTACTTTTATAATGGTCAGACTACCATGAGAATTATTTGATCACTGATTCAGGAGAGTTCCTTCAAAAGTCTTAAATATCTAAAACATTTAAATTGTCTAGGAAAAGGTTGTGCATGTGACCACTCCTGCAAATATGGACAGTGTCTAGGGTAAACAAAGCATCCAAATTAGATACAGTATATAGAACAGTCGTATCTTTTGGCATGGTATTGTGGGCATGTGGTGCACCATTCAGTATTATTTTATTTGATAGCAATCACGGTAATGGCTTGCATGGCGTACTTGAAAAACTTGTATAATTGTCTGCTACTATAGTAGTTTTTTTAAAATTGTCTGCTATTTCAGTAGTTTTTTTATATCACTAATTTTCCTTTCTTCTACAGTAGTAATATTCTGTTTTGAATGTATCATCCATTCCAACCACTGCTCTACGAGACCTAACATATAAATATTGGTGATTTTTTATCAGGCAGAAAATGAGAGCTCTCCCATAATCTATGTTGTGACCCCTACGTATAAAAGGCCAGAGATGGTGGCAGAGTTAACCAGACTTGGTCAGACTCTCTCAATGGTGCAGAATATACATTGGATTGTGGCAGAAGATAGTGCCACCTGCTCTCGTCCAATTACTGGCCTTCTTCAAAGATTAGGTTAGTCTCATTTTTCATCAGTACAGTTGTCATTAACTTGTCATTTTTAAAACACCTGGGAATGAAGTACAGTGGCCCCTTGAATTTTGTAATCAATCCGTTCCAGAGAGTCTGACGAAAGGCGAAATTTACGAATGGCAAAACCGTTTTCCCCATAAGAAATAATGTAAATCAAATTAATCTGTTCCAGACATCCAAAAGTATTAACAAAAATTATCTTGTTATAGATTAAATATAAATTTACATACAGAAAAGAATGAGAAATCAAGTATAAAACAATAATATCACACTTGCCTTCATTGAAGACTCTTGTTGGTGAAGAATTGAGATACTTATGCAACACATGGGAATCTTTATTGAAGAAACGTTTTGCCACACAGTGGCTTCATCGGTCCAATACAAAGTAGAAATGGGTAAGGAGAGTAGAAGTTTGAGGTAATCAGTCCCTCAACCTGGAATCGATGTGTTCAGTCCATCACTCTTGTAAGAAGTGCAGCACAGGGCCAGAGAGGTGGCTTATATACTGCGGTGAGATGAGTTGAAGCAGGAGGAGGCAGGATCACAGTGGGACCTGCCACTAGTGTAAGTAGGTTGTCGTCCAAAGGTTGGGCAAGCGTTGAAGTCTTTGTACCAAGGTCCCATGATGTTGCAGGTCCCACTGTGATCCCGCCTCCTCCTGCTTCAACTCATCTCACCGCAGTATATAAGCCACCTCTCTGGCCCTGTGCTGCACTTCCTACAAGAGTGATGGACTGAACACATCGATTCCAGGTTGAGGGACTGATTACCTCAAACTTCTACTCTCCTTACCCATTTCTACTTTGTATTGGACTGATGAAGCCACTGTGTGGCGAAACGTTTCTTCAATAAAGATTCCCATGTGTTGCATAAGTGTCTCAATTCTTCAACATGTCGGTTTTCAAAACCATTCATCACACTCTTGTTGGTGTATGAACATAAGAAAGGAAGAACACTGCAATAGGCCTGTTGGCCCATACTAGACAGGAGGAAGGGATAGGGTTAGGGTGATGTTCCTTCATAAATGTTTGCACCTCACTTCACTTTGCACAAATATCCTTAATCTTTGAAGAAGGCACCTTCATCCCTCTCTCTTCCTCCTCCTCTGAAGCAATTTCCTCAGCTGGTGTACATAAGAACATAAGAAAGCAGGAACACTGCAGCAAGCCTGTTGGCCCATACTAGGCAGGTCCTTCACAAACCATCGAACTAACAGAATATTTGCCCAACCAAGTTTTCAATGCTCCCCAAGCAATAAGCAATAAGCTATTCACTCATACGCAAGTCCCACTCAAATCAAATTGTGTGTAAGGAAGTGCCCTGGCTGGTTTACATAAGAACATAAGAATGGAGGAACACTGCAGAAGGCCTACTGGCCTGTACAAGGCAGGTCCTTATCAAAATGACCTCTACCCAAAGCTACCCAAGAATTAGCTCCCATACCCAGTGACACCAATCAAACCCAGCCCCTCCCACTCGTATATTTGTCCAGTCTCTTCTTAGTGCTACCCAAGGTCCTAGCCTCTATCACCCTACTGGGAAAATTGTTCCACGTATCCACAACTCTGTTAGAAAACCAGTACTTACCTATGTCCTTTCTAAATCTAAATTTCTTTCTTTCTTTCAACACACTGGCCGTATCCCACCGAGGCGGGGTGGCCCAAAAGGAGAAACAGAAGTTTCTCCTTGTACATTTAGTAATATATACAGGAGAAGGGGTTACTAGCCCCTTGCTCCCGGCATTTTAGTCGCCTCTTACAACACCCATGGCTTACGGAGGAAGAATTCTGTTCCACTTCCCCATGGAGATAAGAGGAAATAAACAAGAACTAGAAAGAAAACAGCAGAAAACCCAGAGGGGTGTGTATATATATATATGCTTGTACACATATGTGTAGTGTGACCTAAGTGTAAGTAGAAGTAGCAAGATGTACCTGTAATCTTGCATATTTATGAGACAGACAAAATGTAAATTTATCCAACTTAAATCCATTATTTCTGGTTCTTACCTGATTCGACACCCTCAGTACTTTATTAATATCTCCTTTGTTTATGCCCATCATCCACTTGTACACTTCAGTGATATCTCCCCCTCATTTTAGGTCTCTCCAGAGAGTGGAGATTAAAGGCGTTAAGTCTATCTTCATACGGGAGATTCCTTACACAGTAAATCATTTTAGTCATTCTTCTCTGTATGTTCTCCAATAAGTCTATATCCATCCTGTAGTAAGGACACCAAAACTGAGCGGCATAATCTAAATGAGGCCTCACTAGTGATGTAATCTGTTAGCCTTGTTGTGCACACTTAGGCGTTGCTGTCTTGGCTTTAGGTTTCTGCTTACCATGACTCCCAAGTCTTTTTCAAATTCTGTATGATCAAGCTCTACTTCACCTATGGAAATAAATGGTATAAAATACCAACACAATGGAAATATAAACACACATGCAGTATAATGTGATCCTTTATTGACAACGTTTCGCCCACATAGCGGGCTTTTTCAAGTCACAAACAGATCTACCTGGGTGGACGGTACAAGAGTATTTGTAGTCAGGTTGAGAATGCTGGGTCAGGTGGAGAATGCTGCATGTGATGATCTACTGAGTGGGGTTAAAGAGTCTAAAATTTTGGGTAGCTTGGAAGAGAGATTGGATAAGTATACGAGTAGACCTTCTGCAGTGTTCCTCCATTCCTATGTTCTTATGTGGGATAGTGATGAATCATCGCTTATCTCTATATCCAACAACCTCAACCAGAACAACGGCTTCTATAACATAGCTGAACCACTTGCCAAGAAACTTCTTCATTGCTATCCCACATAAGAACATAAGAATGGAGGAACCCTGCAGAAGGTCTATTCATATACTCATCCAATCTGTCTTACAAGCTACCCAAGATTTTAGACTCTTTAACCCCACTTGGTAGATTATCACATGCAGCATTCTCCACCTGACCCAGCATTCTCAACCTGTCTATAAATACTCTCGTACCGTCCACCCAGATAGATCTGTTTGTGACTTGATAAAGGCCACTGTGTGGGCAAAACGTTGTCAATAAAAGATCACATAATAATGCATTTGTGTTTATATTTCTACTTCACCTAGTTTATAGCTTCAAGGGTTATTTTCATTACCAAGGACTAGTACCTTACACTTATCCACATTGAACTTCATCTGCCATTTTTCAGACCAAAACATTAATTTGTCCAAATCCTCCTGGAGTTCATTGCTATCTTCCTTAGAATGAATCATACGGCCTATCTTTGTATCATCAGCAAATTTTCTCGTGTCACTCATAATCCCTTTATCAAGGTCATTAATGTAAATTATGAACAAAAGAGGGCCTAAAACTGATCCTTGTGGAATGCCACTAGTGACTAATCCCCATTCAGATTTGACCCCATTGATGGAAAAACTCTGCTTTCTATTGGTAAGCCATGCCTCTATCCATGCTAGAACTTTACCTCCTATACCATGAGCTGCCACTTTTCTTAAGTCTCTTATGAGGTACTCTATCGAAGGCTTTACTAAAATCCAAATAAACAATATCATATTCTTTATCACTGTCTAGTGCCCCAGATGTTCTATTGAAGAACGTCAGTAAATTTGTCAGGCAGGAGATTCATTTATCAAGTTATGCTCTTCAAGGTGACTTCTAATAATGTCATCTATAATTGATTCTAGTAACTTGAGCACTATAGATGTCAGGCTTATTGGACGGTAATTTGAAGGAACAGACTTATCCCCTGATTTGAATATAGGAACCACATTAGCCATCTTCCACAACTCTGGCACAACACTAGTAAAGATGGATGCATTAAACACACTCAGTTCCACCTTGCATTCCTTAAGTACCCTGGAAAACAACTCGTCAGGCTCCGGGGACTTATTTTGCTTCAGTTTGTCTATCCATGTCCCTTGTGACAGTAATATTAGTCAATTTGAATTCATCAGAAACTGAATAATTGTTAATTTCTGGATTTTCATTTATGTCTTCCTGTGTAAAAACTGAAAAAAATAGTCATTAAATATGGAACACATTTCCAGTTCATTATCCATCAGCTGTCCATTCCCAGTTTTCAGAGGTCCTACTTTTTCCTTCACCTTCGTCCTATACACTTGAAAGAACCCCTTTTGGATTAGTCTTTGATTCATTAGCAGTTCTAATTTCATAGTCATGTTTAGCCTTTCTAATCCCCTTTTTTACTTCTCTTTTAAGCTGAACATATTGGTCAGTAAGATTAACCTCTCCTCTTCTGATGCGCCTATAAATTCTCCTTTTCTCCCCTAATAGATGCTTTAACCTACTGTTAACCCATTTGGGATCGTTATTAGACCTAATTTCTCTCTGGGGAATGTATATACTCTGAGTACAGTGTACATTATTAAGGAAAAAATCATAAATGGAGATCCCTTTGTAATCATAAGTATGAGCATCGTCAATAAAATCCTTCTCTAGATAACCCCAATCGAGATTTGACAGGTGTTTCCTAAGTCCACTATAATCAGCAGAACGAATATCAGGGATTTTTACCATATTATCATTATTCTTGTATTCCCAGTTAATGCAAAAAGTGATGGATTTGTGATCACTTGTGCTAGGCTCTTCAGTGATCTCCAGATTATTTACAAGTGTTTCCTTATTTGACAAGACTAGGTCTAGCAAATTATTACCCCTGGTAGGCTCTGTTACACACTGCTTCAGAAAACAGTCCTGAACTGTTTCCATAAAGTCACTGGACTCCAGATTACCGGTCAAAGAATTCCAGTCAATTTGACTAAAGTTAAAATCCCCTACTATCACTATGTTACTGTGTCTAGAAGCCCTAACAGTTTCGTCCCAAAGAAGTCTCCCTCTATCGTGATCCAAGCCTGGAGGTCGGTATATTACACCTAGAATTAGTTTTTCTTGACCTTCTACAAACTCTACCGAAACAGATTCTGTTATTGTAATAAAGTTGGTAGAATTACCGACAATATGTACA